GAAGGAATGATGAAATATTTCATCACGCTTTCAACTATCTGAACAGAAGGATAACGTATGAGCAAAAGGGACAGAAAACCTGAAGGGCGTTCACTAATAACAGAAAATGAAGAGAAATTAACATGTTTCTGCCATTCAGACGGTCAATATTTGAAACATCCGTAGTAAATGCATAGTCTAACTTTATATATTCGTGCCATTATCAATTTTAACAAAGGATGACATTAATCGATTATCAAAATGCCAAGTACTTCAAGCATTCAAATCAAAACAGCATTAATCAGAACTGCAAATTTCAAACAAGGTTACTTCCTCATTGTTACTTTTTTCCGCAGAGACAAAATTTGCCTAGCATCAATCTGAGGCACAATTTGTGGCGGTCAGACATCACAAATCTGGGTTCCCATAGCTGTTTAAGCTGTGTTAACCTTGGATAATGATAAAAAACAATATCAAGCGCTGTTTTCATTTCGGACTGAACTAAATTTTGATATTTTCTCTTTTGACACAGGATTGCAGCGGCGTAATGGCTCAATCCCTGTGCTTTGACTCGCCTAAGAGACCTTTAAAAATCACGCCAATGAGTCCATTCCATGCTATTTGAGCACCTTCAATGCACCGAATCACTAAGCAGGGCCGAACCAGGGCCCTTTCGGACACCTACATTTGCGTCTCCTATCCGTAGGCTTATTTATGGAGAAAAATAAAATACGATCTTATGGGTTTGCTAGCATTCTGCTAGTCATCGATACCGCCAATTGAAAAAAATAGGATTTTCGCTTTTGATAAACATAAAGTAGATTTCTCTACTCTTTTTATTGCCGTCACCAACTTGATAGAAAGCTTGGAATGATACGGCAATTTTGAGATTAAATTATAAATTTTAAAGTTATGAATATGTCGGTTAAAATCTGGTGTCACTTTGCAACTGACTTTAAATCGAAGAATTTGTATATTTTATCATCCAGAGTTGTCATTCATCATATCGGCAAAGATTGAAGTTATTACACACTTCAGTTCATGCCGGTGCAGAGTGAAACTGATTTGTGGTCCAGTTCAAGCCGGTAACACCATGGTTTTACTGGATAATTACTAAGCCTAGCCGTACATCGAAACCTCAGCCTTGTCTTCTACATGTTTAAGTTTACCTCTTGGCTTTGATGTAGGCAGAGGCTTAGACAGTAATGTGGTAAATATCATACATTACCAGTCTGGAATGTGAAAAAATTAGTTTCAGCCCATGTCGGTATAGACTGAAATGACAAATGACTTCAGTCGATGCCGGTATGGACAGATTACTATTCTAGGCCCATCATAAAACGGCTTGGAGCCTGAAAATGAACTTTGACCCATGTTACGAATGCGTAGCGAAACGCCTTGACAATAGAATGTTAAAACATGCGTTGCTTGGTGCCGTCACACATGAATCGGCAAATTATCTGCAATTTTAACAACGGTCCCGTATTACACGTCACATTCATTCTATCTCGCTTTAGTTTTGATGGTCGATTAAAAAAATTATAGAGAGACTAGGATCGTTAATTCACCTCATCCATGATGGAAACTATCTCCTAGTATGTAAATGTTGAATACTAAACTGCATGAATATCATAGAGATACTCAGACGATTGGTGGTTAAAGACAATTAGTACAATGAACAGTAGCCTTTACAATCAGCTATTTTTCAAGGACTGATTGATTTTTTCTTCTCTCGTATCTTTTGAGGTGTCTAACAACAACCTTAGATCGAGACATCAAGCTTCCTGAACTAGCTAATGATCTACAGAGAGACGGACTGAATATTAATTATGTTTGGTGACTGTTAAACGGTGATACTGGCCAGTATGATAAAAGCGCAACTTCGGCTATAAAGAAAAAGTCTCATTTATTGCTCGCCTTTTTGTACCTGTAGCATTAATTAATCTAGCTGCAACTCGCCAAAATAAGCACGATAAGGAATCAGTGAGACTCAGTGATATTTAAGTGACTGTAAGGTCGTCAGCAAACGGAATCACTGCAAAAAGGACAAGTTGATCATCAATTCTTTAAGCTTCCCAAAAGGTTGTGGCCATCCAGCCACTGGAAACAGAACGCTGGTGAAATCGTCTGAGAATTTTTTGGCGTTTTCTGTTGTCAGGACCATCCGAGACCGGAACAGAGTCATTGTATGCACTTGTCCAGGGGTCTTCTGGAAGTCGGATGGACAAGTGATGGCTGTTTCTCCTTCGTTTCTGAATGCCCAGTTCATCACAGCTGTGACTTCTCGATCTGGAGCACCAAGGATCTCTCGGATATCTACTTCCCGGACCATGTCATAAAGCGTGAGTGCAGTGATTCGTCTCAGACAGACAGACAGACAGACAGACAGACCATTTCAACCACTTCTACCGATGATCAAAGTTTTTCATTAATGGTTCACGACTTATGATCATAGACGAGTACATGGATGAAGATCGACTTGAACACCGGGAGCTCAGTCTGTTTCGAACAAAAAAGCAACTCCTGACACAATGTTAATAAGATTTCAAAGGTAGCATCAGACCTTCGGTTGAAAACAACAATTCTTAAAGTAACAGTAAACAACTTCAAAAACGACGGTGAAATAAAACGAAATAAAATGAAAACAATGCGAAGTGCAGCGATAAAAAAATTTCTGCCCTATTTAAACCAGCCCTCTGCACAGTGCATTTCTTTTACACGAGTAAAACCGCAAACTACAAAATCGCCAACGCACTTAACGTATGACGAAACAGCGGATTACATGCAGCTGGCCGTAAAGCGAAGAACCAACCGGATGACAATGTTCATCCTTGCTTTAGAACACGGCGCAGCGCCGTGAGGATGACACGTGATGTCTCTAATCGAATCGACGACTTCAGGCATAGGTATCCACCATTTTGCTGCAAGACGGTTAAAATAGATGGACTTCAGGTTCTATGAGCAAGCCGTGTCAGAAAACTGACGACAGAGCAGTCATTGCGGTGATATTTTGGTTTAATATACGTGAGGATGAAGTCAAAACGTATACGACAGAAACTATACCACTTGGTCAATTTACATGTGACTAACAATTTTCTGTATTTTAATTACGCTCTTATAACTATTGAAACTAAAATTAAAATTCACGTATTCGATTATGGTTACCTTTCCTTAAATCGTCTCCATCGTTGCTGGATTGACCGGAAAACGTTTGTGACGACGATTGTCCACGTGGGCAATCTTAAAAGACTGAAGTCAGTAATATGAATGTAAACGCACTGAACACAATGAAAATGTGGTCAGATCATTTGGAAGATCAACGGAAATAACAAAGCTTGAAAACTCCAGCAATCAAACCAATCTCATACTTTGAAACTACATAATCTATGTGTTATGAGGTTCATTTCAATATGCGCCAATAAAACAAACCTTGTCGACTTCTTCAACAGAAAATAAGCTTTAGGTGTGATGCCGTGCTGAGATAAATGATTTATAGCATATAACTAGATTGGCAAGCGACATTGCAAGGACTGTACAAGAACGCAAGAATATCACTTGCAAATGAACCCTGCTTGAAGTAACACTGAAAGCAACTATGCGATTAATTTCCTACTTCATGTGACAGAAAACAGTATATTCAT